AGAGAGAGAGAGAGAGAGAAGGGAGGGAGGGTGGGAGGGAAAGGAAAGGAGGAAGGAAGGAAAGAAGGTATAACATTAAATAGATCAGAAAAGTGATAAAGTGAGAACTTCTGTTTCAAGGAGTCAGAGTGAATGTTTTCCCAAAATACACTTACTTCCAGGAGGGAATTTTGGACTTCTGGAAGTAAGACAAAGAGGTTCAACTTATTCTGAAATAAGAATAGATTTAATTGGAGAGAATAAAGGAAATTTTCTTAAGGTGAATACTAGGTGGTGACCAGATTTGTGAACAGAATGGATTATCAAATTTTAGCAGAGGTATTTTGAATTCTGTAACTCTCAACATAAGTATAGTCTCCTGCCTAGGTAGTGTTGATACCATAATGCCTCATTAGGAATAATGATGTTGAATACCTTGCCCCTCATTACAATTTGAATAATATACTTGAAATTTTCTAATTGTCTGTGCATTAATATGTTTTACACCAAGAACACATTAATCTGCTCTCTTTCAGTGCCATAGAGGCCAATGAGTGAATTTGTAGGATCTGAAGTCACACTTAAAATGGACATGCTTTCTGTGTTATCTAGGTTTAATTTCTTAAGGAAAGATTAATCAGATTTTCTATGTGGTCTGACATTGTTCTAAATACTAAGGTTTTGATCCCCTCTCCAAACCCTTCTCTTTCCCAAGGTCTCTATATTCCAGAAAATGTATTAATTATCCTTGATTTCTCACTTGTGTTGGATGCCTATTGGATGTCCTGACTGGATACCACCCCCTGAAATCCTTCGTCCATAAGATCAGAGGGACAGGCTCCCAGATACTATCTTGTTCAAAATAACTCAATTCCTTTGGATTTCCATGAACATATTCTTGTGTAAAGCAGGATCACATTTTTTTTTTCCTCCTGCAATCTGCATTTGTAATCTAGCATGAGAGAAAATCAGGTTAGTCTCAATTAACTGGAAGGCTGACATCTGAATCTGCAATTTTCGAATCACCATGAGACCTAAGAAAGAGAAAGGACAATTTATATTAAAAGAGAATAATGAGGCCCACAAAATATATGCAAAATGAGTTGTCAATCGGCCATGCCATGGTTCTAAGGTTTCACTGCAGTTTATTTCCGAGAAGTTTCTGTGTTCTTGTTTTGTGGTTCTATGTGACATACATTCAGCCTTGTAATACATTCCGCTTTGGCTTAAGCTAGCTGTAGTTTATGTTATTTCCTTCCAAACTAGTACACCACCTGCTTCCTGAGCTGGGTCTGTGATGAGTTTGTACCCTAAGATTAGCTAATATTTAACACTGTGGACTGGCTGCTGGCACAAAAATACACTGCTGAATCCTGGGATCCTGTAGCCTGAATCTCAAGGCTACAGGGTGAATTTTGGGGGCACTTTACTGAAAATCTTTTCTTGGGCATGGCTGTTTCATCAAAGATGTTTTCATTCTGGAAGGAAATCAAGAACTTGAACTCTTTCCGGACCTGTTGATACCAGAAAACATAACCATGTCCTATTATTGGGACACAATATAATATTGCTTTCTGTCCTTTCCCTTTGACAAGATGTCTTGGAGTCTGGGTGACTTCTTCACCAGGAGAACCTGTAAAGAAAGCAGACAGGAGTTGGAGATTGAGCCCATGAGGGAGTTTGATGACATGGATTAAAGGTTTAGAGCAGGGGGCTGACAAGTGCAGAACAGGGACTTACCTGCAGCCAGGAGACAAAGGATCAGGAAGCAGGTGGATATTGGGCGCATGGAAGAATTAGGGGAAGAGCAAGCAGCAGAGGCAGGTGGCTATCTGTGCGGCTCTCCCTGCCTCTATCAGTGGCTTCTCTGTGACATGATCACTTGATAGAACCCAATTGCCTTTGGCATCTTGCTTTATACAAGTAATACAAATTAACAGGACATATGAAACAATTGTATTCAGCCACTGGAAAGCAGGCAGTACAGGACTGTGATTCTGCTAAAGCACCAAAACATGGGGGCAATTTCTGTACACACAGAGTGGTGAACAGAACAACAGAGCATGGCAAATTTTGAGTTGCGGAAACAGAGGTTACAAAATCAGCGGGGCTGAGGCAGCTAGAGTGTTCAAGGAAAGCCCTCCAGAGAGGAAGAAGCTGAACAAGAACTCCAGCTGTTGGGAGGAATTATCTTAAATTTTTGGTTAAACAACAATCTGTGTCTGTGTAGGGAAAAGCTTTAAAAGGCATTGGAGAGAAACCCCAGAAAGGCTTCACCAGTACCTGCAGAATGGCCATGCTCTAGTAATGAGACAAATTAGGCTAGAGCAGGGGTTGGTGAACTACAGCCCACAGTCTGGATACCTATTTCTGTAAACTTTTATGGGCAGGGGGCTGGAGGGGAGAAGTAGTCCCAGAATGGCAACATGAGGGGCTTTGAATACCCTCTCCTCAGAGGAAAAAACCATAACAGCTCAAAATTTAAAAACAACCATTGGAGATCGCTGAAAATTCATGAGTCACGATCAGTTACCTGAATCTGACCTCGGGTTAATCCTTCTTGGCCTCTTAGAGAGTTGCAAATATCTAGTGTTGTTGATCTCTACAGGTGGTGAGGCAATAAACTATTCCATAGTAGGAATTGCTGCCTTGTCTTTCAAAATTAAAATGAGAATGAGGACACATTCCTTCTCATCTTCTGAAACTGACATTCTATAGCTAGGAAGTACCAATTCTTTCTTGTACGAGTGAACCTTATCCACTCAAATATCCATTTATTCAATCCATCATTATAAGTGTTTCAGCACACTAAAGGCTGTAAGATACATACTGGCTTTTAGAAAGCTATTCTGGTAGATTTCAGACACCCTATTTCTTCTGAACAAGCTGTGGTACTTTATATTTTTTATTCATATTAAAAATTTAGGCCAGACTCTAATGATTTTAATATATCTTCTAAAGCACCACATCCAACATTTTAATATAAGTCTAATTTATGCACCACATAAGTGGTTCATCAACAGATTTATATTAGGGAAAATAATTAAATGCACTGTAAATAATGCATGACCAAGACAATTTGTCTTAAATTCTGGCACAAAGTTTTAGCAGTTCTAATTTTCCCACTTGGTAAGAAGACTGTGAGACTGCACCAATGTTCCTATGAGGGAAGTTTCTTCTCTTTCTTAGGGCATGGATTCATGAGAGTGATGTTCTCCCCTGTCTAGGCTTGCCCTTAAATGCAAAGATCTATACAGGTATAGGATTCTTTACAAGTCTGGAGGCTCACAGATGTCTGCCAGACTGGGTTTGCACTGGCCAGCATTAAGGTAACAGGTTCCTTCTTGTCCAGAGTAGCATTGTTCTCATCATGTACACCTGTTTGGTTTATAACTTCCAGGAGTTTTAAACAAGTCTGTCTGATTTGTTCATTACCTTATTCCCAGAACCTGGAATAATGTCTGCTATACAGGAGTTCCTAAATACATATTTCCTGAAAAAATGGCATAAGAATAAACATCAGTGCCAGCCCAAGCCCTGAGTCTTGTTTACAGCATTGTAAGTTTCATCACTCACATCTTAGTGTCACTTCTGTTTCTGTCTTTGTGATCAGGATATGCACAGAGTCTGTGGGACTAGAGTACAGGAGCAGGGGCTGGAGAGAAAAATGAGAGTGAATATTGAATTACTAGAGGAAGGTGTGGAAACAGACTACAGTGTGAGCGCCCAAGGTGGACAGGCCATCCATGCCTAGGACTCACTGCTCTCAGGAGGAAAAGGGGCTCATAGCAGAGGAACCTGATGCCATAGGCAGGCTTGGGGCATCAGGGGGCCTCAAGCTTCAGAGTTCTAAGGGCTCTGCCTCCAAATTATGTGTGCTGTTTCTATTTTGTCTCTGTTACCTACGGCTCTCTAAAACCCTGCACATATTTGCTTGGTAAGAAGTTGGCAAGTTTTTTGGATCAAAGAGGGGTCCCAGACTCTCGGATAAAATAAAACAGAGTTAGTTTTTCTAGATCAAACTAATGTGTTGTCAGCACTAACAGCATACCTCAGAAAGCATACAGGTGACTAGTTCATGTCTATTCTTAATGAGGAAGGCAGACAGAAAGAAAGAAAAGACAGAAGGAGGAAAGACTGAGAAGGACAAGAGAGAAATCATTTTATTTTTATTGAACCTGAGCTTCCTCCAGAAAGACAGACTTTATGCAGGTCATATAAATTAATCAATCACCTCTAAATAGTATGGTTCTAAATCGTATGGTTCATACAGAGGAATCATGAAAATGTCTAAGCCAGCCTCTCTAGCTAAATCCAGGGTTCTAGTCCCTGTGGTGAAAGTGCTCTTCTGTTTCTTCTGTCCCAATGGGTGGTGGGTGTATATCTGTGATACCACCACACGTACCCACTCTCGGATTCCAAGTGTCCTTTCTTGACATAGTCAACTTGCAGTTTATGATGCCCCTTTCCCCGTATCTCCCAGCTTTCCGGACTGCATGTTGGGTGAGTCTGGATAGAGGTGCTCCACAGCTTCTCCCGCCACTCTTGGAGGCAGCTGATTTTCTGCCTGCAACTGCTCCTGAACATCCAGCCACTTCTTCATCCATGTTCCATCCTCATAGTTTCCCTACCGTGCACATAACCACGGTTCAAAGTTTACTGCTTGAGGAAAGCACCTCAGCATCTCTACAAGTTAAAGAGTTTATGTTTAATTTCTCACGTTCTCAGGGTGGCTCATCCATCTTTAAAGGATCCCTCAGGATCAAGCTTTAAGCTCAGCATTTTTGACCCTTCATCCTCCCAGGTTTATCCTAAAGACCTTCTTACTCTATGTTGGCCCTCAGTGCCACTCAGTGCTAGTCAACCAGTGAGGCATAGTCACAGGGGCTCACCCCTCTGGCCAAGACGCAAAGGAAAGTGAGTGCAATGTTGGGTTGGAGTGTGGAAATCTTCCAGCTTATCACCATTTACCTTCCTATCCGAAGGTCTGGCTTAGAACCCACATAAACTCTCAAGAGAGAATGAGCTTCAGAAGTAAATTGTCTACATTTCGATCCTGGCTCCACCACAAACGAGATGTGATAAAGGGCTAGTTACTTGTCTGTGTCTCAGTTTCCCCATCGATAAATGAGTGAGATTACAATAGTACCTACTTTCTGAGGTTGTTGTAAAGCTTACATGAACTATAAATATACGTGAAGAAGACTTAAGGTCTAGCATGTAGTAAGTGCTTAGTAAATGTTAGCTATCATTATATTATCATTAATATCAATAAAACAATGTAAAAGCTCTTTTGTAATAGATTTTGTCTTTTTTAAGATTATCTTTATTCAATGTGCAAAATTTTACATGTTTAGATAGCCATATAACTATATTTTCTGCTTTTTTTAATCAAAATACCATTCTCATCGAGGGATGTTAATTATAAGATAATTTGTAAATGTATGCTTCCATGTGACAATTTATGAGGTTTCAATATTACTCGCTCAGCATTTTGTTTATCTTCATTCAGGGGAGCAGGAGCTCCCTTCTTCTTCCCTCCTGGAGCTGTTCTTTTACTGACGTTTGCTGGAGCCCTTATGCACCTCAGTGACATTATTACTCTCTTCTATACCGATGGCTCCATGATCTTCATCTCCAAATGTACTCTATTTTCAGTTTGATTTCTTTATATATTTATGGTTTCCATTTGGCCATCACAATAGTACCTCTAACTCCAGATAGGAGCAGATGAATGTATGGTCTTCCCTTTTTTTCCCTCTCTTCAATGTGGTTTTTTTTTTCCCTGAGAGATTTTTATCTTGTGATACTTGTGTTTTCATTCTCCCATTAATGAGGTAGTTGCTCCAGGTCTGGGCTAAAAACATGTGAATTATCCAGGAGTATGAAACCCTATAAGGTTTAATCAAATCAAATGCCAGAGACTTGAGTTTATATGACCTTGGGTCTCCATAATCCTTCACATATCACCTCTTATATTTCTAAGCCTCTGACTTAGATTAAAACGATCAAAGAGGAAGGAAAAGGCTTCTATTCATCTTCTGAAAAGGACAGCATGGGCTCTCAATATGATCCTGGGAAATACCGCAAGCTGAATGCCAGGCATGTGTAACCACTTTTCCACTCTTGGCATAACTGTCAATGGTTTTTATTGATTTGCGCCTAACTGCTGTTTACAGATGAGATATTGACAGCCACAAACCCACTTCCTATTGTTGTAAGAGTTGGTGTGGGAGGAGTCCTAGAGAAAGCACCTGGATCTGGGAAACGATGAGGTTTATGAACAGAGGGGAGATAGCACTGCAGCTCTGTGTCTCTGCTGCTGGCACACAGGTACATGGCTGCATCCCTTAGGCCTGATGAGCGGATGTCAAGAAAGCAGAAAGAGGTGTTCGGCCTTCTGGATTGGAAGTTATCAGGGGTGTCTGCTTCATTGTTCAAAGCTTTGTCATAGTAGTACAACAGCAGCTTTGGGGCCTGACTTGGCTTCTGCTGGTACCAGTACATGGCATTATGGTTCAGATTCTGAGAACAACTCAGAGTCACTGGCTTTCCCAACTGGGTAACCTGGTATCTTGGGTTCTGGATGACCATGGCATCCCCATGACCTGTAGAGAAAGAAGACAAATTTGTAGTCAGAGTGAAAGAGAACAATGTTGCTGCCATGAATGAAAGGCGCAGACTGAGGACAAGATAGTTTTAGTCAAGGATTTTCTTTCTACCCAGGACTCACCTGCTCGAAGGAGACAAAGGGCCACCCAGTGGAGAAGCCCAGGACCCATGGCAGGAATACCACCCCATATAGGAATGAAGCATCTGTCTGTCTCAGGCTCTGATTCCTGGGTTGGGAGGCGGGAGTTTAGAGTCCCCAGCCCCTGATAGGCAGATTTGCCTGTGATGACTGTTGCTGTTGACTTCACCAGGGCCCGGGTCATTCCTCGTTGCATTGTTATACGCAACTTCCTACTTGTCTGGAAGAGCGATGGAACAGATGTTTATTTTCTATATCATTTGCTGCTTCTTTGAGGCAGACGTTCCCATATTTGCCCTGTCCCTGTCTCTGTCCCATGTTCATCCAGTTCTCTTCACTTTACCCCACTTTTCTCTCATCCTAAAAAGCAGCCCAGCGGTTTCTCCATACAGATAGCATTTGCTAACGTCTCACTCAGAAACCATTGAGATAGCGCCTTTGCTTTTTGCTACTCACATTAAAGATGGATGAATGTCACTAGGTACTTAGTGTATTTATTATAGAAACTTAATTTCTATTTACATCATGAAACTATATTTTTAAACGTTGGTGCCTAGATTTAGGAAAACTGATTACATAATATTTGGAGTACAGAGATATATGTGGTAAGTAGGGTTGTATCTGAGCTAGTCCAGGAAGTGTGAAAAATGATACTTGAGAAGAGCAGCATTATGCCTGTAATTATTGTAGGTCTCATCTAGACCTTGGCTACTCCATGTGGGCCATGGACTGGCAGCTTTGGCATCACTTAGACTCTCGTTCAAAATACAGGGAGTCTTAGGCTGTACTCCAGACTGATTGGATTAGAATCCGCATTTTAACAAGGTCATAATTTACATGCACATTTAAGTTTGAGGAACTCTGGGCTAAGAGGATTTTTGGAGATGTTGGAGAAATATATGCAAAGCAGTATGTTAAGGACACATTATAAGAAATGCTATTATGTAAGGATGGTTCAGATAGAATCATTTGCATGGTAGTCTTCCTAAGGATATCATTTCTTTTTTGTCCTAAAGCAGACAATTAGCAGTTGAATATTAGAAGCTTGCTGGACTAGCTGCCGTGAATCTGTACCTTTCCCTGGTCTGACTAGGAAGAGAATAAGGACAACCCATTTCAAGTCAAAGGCAGCAATTCATGATTTTTTAGTGGTCTAGGAACCTGTAGAAGACTCACTATTATGAAGATGCCAGTGTTCAATTAATATATAGTTTTAATATGATTTCATTCAAAATGTCAGATTGGATAAGGCTGATAATAATTTTAATAAGCATGAAAATTTGAAGCTGTATCATAAATGACATTTGTAGGCACAGTGTGGCAAACAGCAGGAAATGCTTGAGGCTAGAGGTGACTGTTTTCAAGGTTCCCATGGCCTGGGTCTTGCCTGACTTCTGTCATGGTTGAGGGGATTATTACAGTGGCATGCCTGTCATCCATTCATGGAACTCCATTGGTGAGCTCTTGTCTACATCACAGAGTGAGTCTGGCTCATCTGTGTAGCCAGCTTGGTCAATATCACATGTGTGTAGCCTCACCATTCTCACGGCACCCTGCTGAGGCCACTGACAACACCACTTCAGGACAATGAGAGTGATGGGCACGGGGAAGCATTAAAAGGCTTTCAGTTCCATCAGATCCAACCATATGCTGTGTATTTATGACTGTAGACACTTAAATCCAGACAGACATGTTCTCTTAGGGATTCTGTAAGAAATACCTTGTTAGTTTTTGCAATTTGTTCTGGGTGTGGCCTCATGTGGTGTCATGCCCAGGGCCTGTTTCAGAGTTGCCACCTTTTATGTGTCCAGGCTTAGGATGAATTTTCGGTCATAGGGTGATAATTAAGGGAGAACCTTTACTGATGAAAGGGAAAACATAAAGGCCAAGGGCAGCATGGGAGAAGATCTGGGTCCCTCATCTTCCTATCATGCCAAAGACAGGTGTGCTGTGTGCAGGGTCCAGGCTGCTTAGCACTAGACACTCCAGTTTTGAAGTATCATCTGTTTATAGGACTTGCCATCCTTGACTTCTTCATGTATAAGTTCAATTGCAGCTTTTATCACTTCCTGGAAAATGCAAAGACCTTAGAGCCCTTACCTTCATTTATTCTTTTCCATCCTTTATGCCAATGTTGTTCATTATTTATAGCTAATCTAAAAATAGCTATTATTTGCAACATGAAGACATATTTGAGACTTAATCAGAATAGAAGTTGATGTTTTGGAGTGTGCTTGAAAGTTCTGGAGACCTACTGGACAGCATGGTGACTATAGTTAATGATAACATATTGTACACTTGACATTTTCTGAGAGTAGGTTGTTCTCACCATACATACACACACAAAGGTAACTTTGTGAGGTGATGGATATGTTAATTAGCTTGAGTGTGGTAATCATTTTGCAATGTATACGTATATCAAAACATCTTGTGTACCTTAAATATATACAATTTTTATCAGTCAATCATACCTTAAGAAAGATTAACAAATGAAAAAAACAGTATTAGAAAAATTTTACATAAAGATATCACTTGAGCTAACAGAACTATAAAGACAGCCACTGTGTGTCCATTACAGGATAGAACATTAGGTGTCTATAGTATGAAATAGCAAAGCACTGAATTAAATTTCTGCTTGTTAGATTTTGGAATTGAGGCAATGTACCCGCTGCGAACTTGTTTTGCCTTATAGCTGCTATTTTTAAATATAATGGAGAGATTAGAGTGCAAAACTAAATCAATAATTTAGTTACTTATTATGACCTTGGATTACATAACACAATAAAAGGAAAAGCACCAGTAAGGGTTCTCTAGCTGAAATTTTGAGAAAAAACTCGTGTTCAATATGTGACTATGCTTCATAAATCAGTTTTTCTTTTGTCTTGTCATACTAAAGAAGGCGATGGACAACTTTCAAGCAAGATATGTGTTTGTGATGCCTGTGACAGAAATAATATACCTATTCATATTACATGTCCATGTAGAGAGTACTGATTGTCTACAAATTAGATCTTGATCACTAGAAAAGGAAAATATGGTTTGAAAAAATACTACAAGCCCACTTGTAGTATTTTCTCACTATCTATTTGCCCAATCAGCATTAGGTTATCCGTTCAATAATAATTTGATGTGCTAAATAACAATCAGACTAGGGAAAATAAAACTTATTTTTAAAATGAATTTCAGGATTGTTTGCAAAAACCTGACTGAAATGCAAGCAGAATATTGGAATCCAGATGTTAAAAGAAGGCAGTCAAACCAGGTAGAATGTATTATACCATTAAATCTCATTAAAAACTACATATTCCAGGCCAGGCATGGTGCCCTATGCCTATAATCCCAGCACTTTGGGAGGCCAAGGCAGGAGGATCAGTTGAGCCAAGAAGTTTGGGACCAGCCTGGGCAACATAGTGAGACCTGTCTCTACAAAAAAATGCAAAAATTAGCTGGGTGTGGTCATGCACACCTATAATCCCATCTACTAGGGAGACTGAGGCAGGGGGACTGCTTGAGCCCAGGAGATTGAGGCTGTAGTGAACCGTGATCACACTGCCATTGCACTCCATCCTGGGTGATAGAATGATAATTTTTCTTTTTTTTCAAAAAGAAAAAAAAGAAGGCTGGGAGTGGTGCCTCATGCCTATAATCCCAGCACTTTGGGAGGCCGAGGTGGGCAGATCACTTGAGATCAAGAGTTCAAGACTAACCTGGCTAACATGGTGAAAACCCATCTCTACTGTAAATACAAAAATTAGGCAGGCATAGTGGTGGGTGTCTGTAATCCAAGCTACTCAGGAGGCTGACGCAGGAGAATCACTTAAACCCAGGAGGTGGAAGCTGCAGTGAGCCAAGATCACGCCACTGCACTCCAGCTTGGGTGACAGAGCAAGACTCTGTCTAAGAAAAAAAAAAAGAAAGAAAGTCAAAAGGAACACATGTTCCTATTGCAGCAACTGGAAGTGATCTCAAAAAATGTCAGCTGACATGTGTATTTATAGTGCTAGCTGTATTTTTTATATTAAAATCTCAGACCCTATGTGGACAGAAAAATTAGCATTAACCTCTGATAATGGAGTTGGCTACTGCACTCAAAAATCAGATTGTTTTAAAGAGTTTGAAAATTTATAAATGCTAGACAAAAACAACCTAAACTATTTACCACTATTACCAATGTCACCACTGCCACTGTTACTAGAGTCGTCATTGAGCAACCTAAAAATCAGTAGTAAATGCATTTTTATTCGCTATGTTTATTTCCATTAGAAAGAATTCTTCATCTTACTATAAGAAGGGATATAAAGATGTGGCCTCACAGTCAGAGTCATGAACCTCTCAGAGCAGCAGGATAGGCAAGAAGTCTACTGTACTTTATAACCAGGGCGACATACACTTTAAAAAACAAAACCAGCAACACATAGATCGAATTCGGTGTAAGGAACTTCAGAGATCCCCCAAACCACAACTATTTTCACCCAAATCTTCTTAGAATACTCTTGTATTTTCAAGAGTTAATTCTGGTTCTTTATCTCCCCTTCCTTGGGGGAGGAGGCACAGGGAAAGCCTTCCTTTTGGGCAGGTGTGAGTTGAGAGAAGGCTATGGTTTTGCACAGCGAGGGCATGACTGTGAAGCACTGTGTCTAGGCTGCTGGCACAGAAATAAATTCCAGAATCCTCCAGTTCTGCAGGCTGCACCTTCAGAGTGGAATTTGTCCCTCCGGTCCTTTCAGCTGAGAATCGACTATTGGGCATACCGGACTCATCCTGTTTAGAGTCTCTCAGAAAGTTTATCAGAAATTTTATTTCTTTTCCCATAACACGTCGATACCAATGCAGATATTCATGTCCAGAAATTGGGTCACATCCCAGAGTCACAGCCTGGCCCTTCTCTATTACCCTGTGGCTGGGGAACTGAGTAACTCCAGCAGCTGTGTGCTCTGTGGGAGGAGACAAAAACAGAATACATGACATTAAAATCTGGGATAGGGTAGAGCAGAGATATTTAAGTTTTGGAAGACTTACTTGCTCCCAGGAGACAAAGGGACACTAAACTGAGAAGCCTGGAAACCATGGCAGGACTGAGGTAAATCACATTTCCAGATGAGTGAGCTTGCAAGCATGAGAAAAAGGCAAGCAAATCTGTCTCTTGGCCCTGTAAGATGTGGCCTCCAGTGATGTCAGCATGTTAACCAATGTCCACAGCCTCAGGAGCTCCCTCTAGGGGCATGGAAAGGAGAAGACCCAGCCGGGATTCTCCAAAGAACATTGCCTCTAGAGGGGGCAATGGAGAAAAATTGACATCAATTAAAATCAACCTGTTTATGCATTTGACTGTGTGTTAACCTGATATATACCTTCATCAAGAAGTCACCATTCATAGCTCCTGCGTCTGATATCTTGATCCTACCCCATCCTATCTAGCCCTGCCTTCCCTCATGTATCACATCCCCAAAGACTGTGGGGCATTTCGACTTATGGTAGCTCTTGTTGCTATTGCTAATGATCAATACTTACCTCCAAATTCTCTTTTCCCATTATGTCTCAACATACTCCAATCAAGCTTCCCCCCCCACCACCACCACTCTCAAACAGCATGCTCAAAGCATGAAAGATTATCCTCAACTTTGCTCCACCAACAGCCTTCCAGCTGAAAACCTTAGAGTGGTTCCTGAATCCTCTTTTTCTATTCCACTCTATAGCCAATCCATTGGGAAATTCAACTGGCTCTATCATCAAAATATACTCAGAATCAATCCATTTTCATCACCTTCACTGCTAACCCTTGGGACAAAGCCACCATCATCTTTCTCCTGGATTATTGCAATAGGTTCCTAACTGATCTGTTTTCACCTACTTCTGAACTAGTTCTCAAACGCAGCCCTCTAGAATATGCTAGATCATGTCACTCATCTCCAAATCATCTGCTAGCTCCCAGTTTTATTTGGAATAAGAAAACAAAGCAACAAAGCACTTAAGGCCATTGAGGTCATGTATGGTCCATCTTGCCCCATTGCCTCTCTGACATAAACTCTACCACGCCCTTCATAGGCATATGGGCCTCCTCACTGGTCCTAAAATATTCTTTACGTCATTTGTACTGGCTCCTCCCTCTGCCTGGAATGCATTTCCTCCAGATACCTACATGTCTCTTTCCTTCTTCTCCTTCAAATGGTTGCTCAAAGGTCACTTCCTCATTGGGCCTTACTCTCAACATTATATTGTAGTTTCAACGCTCCTTACTCTGACAGCCCTGGTCCCCCTTATCTTAGTCTGCCTTTTCTTTTCTTCATAGCATGTATCACCTGCTAATACACTATTTGCCTTATTTATTTGTCTCTGTCTCTCCCTCCCCACAAAAATGTAAACATCAAGTAGACATGAGTCTTTGTCTTTTTTCTTTTTAATATGTGTACTGAGAACATAAAGCCTAAAACTCTTTCAAGAGGAGGTGCTGCTGGAATAAAATCTTAAAAGGTGACTGGATTTTCCTGATAACCTATGGAAGGCACACTCCAGACAGGGGGATATTAAAGTCTCAAAATAATTTTCTTTCATTGTAGTTTGAGATGGGTGTCAGATTAAAGCATAAGAACAAGGTTTGCAGAAAATATGAGGACATGAGTTTTTTGGCCTAGTCTCAGGTAAACTGAACATATTGGAGTATATTAATTTTGAGTGGCTGCGATAAAAATTACCACAAAGTTACTGGCTTATAACAGCAGAGATTTATTCTCTTAGTTCTGGAAAAGTCCAAAATCAGTATCACTGGACCAAAATCCAGATGTCATCAGGACCATACTCCCTCTAGAGGCTATAGGAGGAAATTCATTCTTTGTCTCTTTCTAGTGGCTGCCTCACTCCTTGGCTTGTGGTCACAGCACTCCAATTTCTTTCCCTATGGTCAGGTTGCCTTCTATTCTCCATCTGTGTTTGATCTCCCCCGGCTATCTCTTATAAGGATACATGTAATTGCATCTAGGGCCACCTGGCTAATCCAAAATAATCTCCTTATCTCCAGATCCTTAACTTCATCACATCTATAAAGTCTACTCTTACCATATAAGGTGACAGAGGCAGACTCCAGGGATTAGGATGTGGATGTGTTTTTGGGGAGGGGTGTTATTCAGCCAGCCATACGATACAATAAATGGTTATTGCAAATTCTCACAGGTATCATTTTTCTGCAATAGTAGTGCATCAACTCTAATATTTTGTACGTAAATCTGACATTGCCATTCTCTTCACAGTGGAGCCTCAGTATTTGTCTCTTCATAAAAACCAGCTTTTGTGGAGTCTGTGTGGCCCTGCATTCTTGGGATTGTGCACAAAGGAGACTACAGAGGGAGCCCCTGCCTCAGAGAACCATCGGAGAAGCTCTAGTGATGGGCTTCTGCATGACAGTTTTCTGCTTAGCCTCCCTCACCACCGCTCCGCCCCATTATGTTTAGGATGCAGTGAAGCAAAGGTCAAGAAGAAGAGGTTGATTCTAGGTCTATTTGAGCACTCTGAGCCTGGGGAGAAATGACAACTAACAGCAGCCCCACGAATTGGCTGGATAGTGACTTAGGTGACCCAACGCTGGTAACTGATGTCCTGTAGCTATAACAATATTACTAAGTGACTTTATACCCTTCATCCAACACGCACTAGTGCTAACATGACACAAACTAAGAATTAGACATTGGCACAACTAAAGACTGTATTCATATTTCCCCAGTGTTTCTAATAATGACCTTTTTCTACCCTAGTACCTAATCCAAGGTCCCATATTGCATTTAGGTGTCATATCTTCTTAGTGTTCTAGTGTTCTTCAGTTTGTGACAGCTTCTTTCCTTGTTTTTAATGATATTGACATCTGAAGATTACTGGTCAGGTATTTTGTAGAATGTCTTTCAATTTAGACCTGAAGGAATATTTGAAGGATTTGGAGGAATATTACACATATGTAGTCATATGATAACATTACAACATCGTATCATAAAAGAATGCACATGAGGTTAACAAGACTTATTATGGGTCACGTTTATTAACTTTGATCACTTGGTTACCATTTTTTAATTTCCTGTGTCTATTCATTAGAAGTGGGCCACTGAATCCAGGAGAGGGGAATCTAGAGGGAGGAGTATAAAAGAATGCGTGGGCATATGTTAAAACCACCATATTAATTAATATTTTGGGGACAATACTTTGTGACTGTACAAATGATACATTTTTTTTCTTAAAGTTATACCCACTAATTTTAGCAGTCATCGTTGGATCTTATATGCAGCAGCCACTTACAGTGGTGTGGTAATGGTGACTTTTCTATTTCCCTCTCTTTCTTCTACATATGCAATTTGGAATTCTTCAGTAAGAGAGTGTCCTTTCTCACCATTTGTTTATTATTTCTTTCTTTCTTTAATCATTTCATTCTCAGTGTGAACTTATGGATTTTCTTTTATTCTTTGTGTTTTAATCTACTACTAACATGATTTTGTTTTTCAAATTGTTCCAGTCTTAGTCATTGGGGGAGCTCTTTCAGACTGATTCCTCTGTTTTTTTGGGATGTGTCCCATCTTTTTTTTTGTACACATCTTATTACATCATTCTTGTGTGTGTGTGTGTGTGTGTGTGTGTGTGTGTGTGTGTTTTATCTCAGGGTCCTAGAATCACTTCTCATTTTTTAAAATTGAAGAATAATATTTGGCAACTAACATCTGGGCACTAGTGGTCTTCCAAGTGGACGTAACTATGAAATATATGTATGTATACTAACCCATTATTCACACAAGTATGTATTCATTTCTTTACTGTTTTATCTGTATATTTAAAAATAAGAAATTCATACTGATATCTCCAAACAGATGTTCTTGTACATTAGAAATATTCTTTAGTTTTGCTCTGAGACTTAAGTTACTTGGAAACAGTTTGATCTTTTGAAGTCTCGCCCACATAGGCCCAGAACCAAATTTAGTGAAGGGCTTATTTTGCTTTAATACTGAGGCACAAGCCATCTAAAACCTCTACTGATTGACCCATGAATTATTAAATTTCCCATTCTCATTGCAAAAAGAAAAAAAAAGTATGACTCCCAGCCCTTTGTGAGCTCCAGGCATTGTTTCCTCTTGTCTTGATGAGTGGCTCTTTCTCTGACCTTGGGGAGTTTCCTCACACACGTACTGTTTACAGCACAGCTGAAGGGTTAAGGGAGACCCTGCAAAGGTATGAAGGTCTCCAGGATTCTCTCTGTGCTGCAATTGCTTTTTCAGTTCCCTGTCTTGTGAAATCTAGCTGCTTTGATCTTGTATTTGCAACTCTGACTCTGAGCTCAGTGAGATGCCCAGCTCTGCCTCAATTCCCCTTTCTGGCCCACAGCCTGGAAACTCCCTCCAGGTATTAAGACAGCCATAGTTCTCAGTTTGGTTGTTTCCATCTCTCAGGCATCATTGTCTTTTGTTGCCTGACTTCCACTGTCTTCAAAACTGCTGTTGCACATGTTGTGTGTATAGAGCAGGGTGGGCTGAGGGGTGGGGTGTTAGCTGTTTCAAGCAAGTAGTTAAATCAAATTCCTGTTAATTGATCTTGGTTGGAAGCAGAAGTTTACTCTAGAACCACATTGAATTTCCTAATGCCAGGGTCCCCGAGGGTTTTAATGGCTATGGACCTTTTTGTCATCAGTTTTTGGGTATATGATTTACATTCCATGGAAAGAGTATATTTCATTCCAAACACATGGGAGACACAGCCTGAAGATTCAACTTTTCTCTCCTAACTTTTCCTTTTTATCTATCACCCAAAGGCCTGACCAAACATCCAGTTTCCAACTGCATTTCTGGGTCTTTGGGTTGTAATACTTTTAGTTCATAAAGTCTGGGAGCATTTTGAAGCTCCAGGATTGAGGAAAGCAATGTAATTCTGGCTCCTTTGTGTCCTCTCTTTCATATGATCATTAAAATCCCAGCTCCAGCTGTGAGGCCCATACTGCTCTGAAGCTTATAGGTCTCTATGATTTTATCTTCCCCTTAATACTCTGCCTATAAGCACCCTCTTTTTTTCTACATAGTAAACTTCCTTTTCTTTTTAGCTTGTCTGTATATTGTTTTATAGCAGTGGCACTGTTTAAAATTTTTATGGTAAATAGTGTATCAAATTTAAAAAGGAAAAATTTTAAACAAAGACAAGGCTAATCATATTCTTTCTGCTCTTTCTATAGTCCTTTTATCTCTCCAAATCACCGGCAAAATAAATCACAACTGTTTTTCTTCCTTACACAAGCATATAAAACTGTGTATAAACTGTACATAAACAACATGTGAAAAAAATCACTGTTTTACATGTTGTGTGTGTGTGTGGAGGGGGGCAAGGTGCGGGGGTGGGGTGTTAGCTGTTTCAAGCAAGAAGTTAAATCTAAATTCCTGTTAATTCATCTTGGTTAAGCAGAAGTTAATAAGGGTATTTACTGATTTATTTTTTTCTTAAATAATTTTATATGCCATGTATTATTTTGCAACTAGTTTCCCCTTGGAAGTTTGCCTTTATCCGTCCTACAAGCGAATGGATAAATATGCCTATTTGGCATTCTTTTTACTTTTTTGCACATATGGAGTGAAGCACACATC